TATATCATAGTAACGGCAAGAATAAGATCGTAATTGTATCAAAAAAAAATTTCCGGATACTTCAATGATCAAATATGGAATAAATGAATGGTAGTAGAATACAATAGGGATCCTAATCACTTCCTCAGAATATCACATCAGTGATTAAATTAATGTAGTGAAGTAGTTTTTGAAGTATTTCAAACAGAACTAAACTAGCAATGAAACATTTCACGACGTGAAAATGTGCGTGTTTCAAACGGGAGTAATCTGAACAACTGTTTAGATTCGTTCAAATTCAATAGATATGATTCAGAGCATGACAGAATTGCGAAACCATGCATATTGCTGCGAATCGAAAAAATTTGAAAATCCGATCGGAAATTTAATCTATAAATAAATTTAATGCAGATTTGATCGCATTCGGAATCTAGGGAAATGCGCACTGTTGAATTATTCCGTTGAAATGTGAATGCCAAATGGAACATATTCAGTTATGAATGGTGTTTTGACATACGAATACAGTTTCGACGTAGAAATATTTCATAAAATCATGCAAATTTATTTTGACTTTCATAACTATCCGACTGCAATGATAACATTATTCTGATTTTGACATTTATTGATCATTCAGTAGTGAACTGAAATGTTGCACTGAGTTTGTAGGCTATAGATTTAAGATTTACCTCTTTGGCAATCGACAGGAATCAAATGAAGGTGGTGGAGCGCTGGCTTGTCGCGAAGGGCGCATCGTTGCTGACGAATATCCCACCGTACCGCCGCTAGGTTGCGCCCTCGGCTGCACAACATTCCTTGTCTAAAATTAATCATGCAACCTAACAATATATCTGTCTGACTCATAAAAACCAATATAAATGTCGCTGAATGAATGTTCGAGATAGAATTCGAGGCAAGATAGCTGATTTAATAGGACATAAAATATCATAAACCATCATGAAATTGACTAGACAAAACAAAAATGTGGTATTTCGTGATAGCAGAAATGTGTATGCCCTTCATGTGTGTTGTAATGGCTGACTACTTGAATGTATCCAGATAATGAATGTGCAAAAATCAAACCCTAAAACATACCCCCTCAACTTTAATCGGTATATTCCTCACAACGCCCGGCGCACCGTTCAAATCGCCATTAGACATCTTTCGCAACGGTGTATTATTGAAGCGTTCAACAGGCGAGAGGGGGAAAATGCGATCGAATATGTTACCTGAAATAATCACAACATCATCGACCGGAAAATTTCATGAAATAACCACACCGTAGAAAATTTCATATGACTCTAAATATTAGACTCTCCAATATGACTCTAAACATTGGACGCAGCAAATGAGTAACTAATAGGATTGAAATAATCAATAGATTACAGTTCAAATTAGAAACCCAATGCTCGAAAAAAATTGAATCATATCAAAATATAAGGAACTAATCGCTGGCTAAACAAAAAATAACCTGAATCAAACGAGAATGACGGCATATGATCTCGCATGAACGAATTACTCGTGTTGTTACCGCGGTTTATGAAAGAATCATCGAAACCACCAAATGAAGACATCTTATCAGCATCGTCAAACATAAATATATCACCGAAACGATGCGGAGTGATAACCTTAATTTGCAAAATATTCAATATGAATCCAAGAAAATTTGATTCATTTGAAGCAAACGATTTAATTGTAGTTTGACACAAGCGAAATAGATGCATATAACTCGTGTAATATCATTCAGAAATAATCGCACATAAAAGCTGATTTGAACACAACGGATAAAAGAGGCTTTTCTCTGATGTGCTGCTGACACGCAATATCTAATATTTCGCAAGCGATTGATAAATGACTGATTATGGCTTTAAGAGGCTTGTTAAGTTCGAATAGTTAAACTATCAATTAACCAGATGCATATGGCTGGTTAATTTTTTCAGTTTATCGCATGAATCCAAACGAAAAAATTATAGGAAACAGAATTGCGTGACACAGAACAACAATAAAATTGCGAAAGATTTTAAAACCCAATCGGAAAAAATCATTCATGATTGACAAGAATCATAGAATTATGACAAAATGTATTTGAAGTCAAGTAACTTCGACCAATC